TGCTCTTTATGTCTCCTTTTTGTCTAACTCTCTCCCCTTTCCTAGCCTATTCCCTTCCCAAACCTGACAAAATTCAGAATGTTTTCTCAACTAAGATTTTCAGTTCAGGGTTGCCGCTACATAGCGAATGTTTTTCTATCATTAACCAAAATAGTCAAGTTTTATATTCACTTAAGCATATCAGCCTTCATCTTCCATACAAAATCCTGGCAAAGCACTCTCAAACACGACTCACCGGTTATTTTTGCCGTGTACCATATTCCATCGCTGTGCTTCGCCAGGCAGGCTGAGCCCACCTCCAGCGCGCTCAGATTGGGCTCCTGAAATGGCTGAAGCTCTTCCACAGAGACCACCTCACCATGTGAAAACCTGCCAGGGAAGGCGGAAGAGGAATTATCTTCACAACATTTGAGCAGGCTTTAAATAAAAATTCCTTCCCTCCTTGAAGGGAATGCAAACGAGTTGCCAGTGGTGATGAATCTTCACCAGTAATCATGGAAGTTTTATCATGCATTATTTCAATCACACAAGTTATTAATTTTTCATCTTAAAGATATTATTTATGTCATGTAACAAAGAATGCATCCCATGCCAGAGAATTAAGCTCTCCTTGCTAGTGACACATCCAGTAAAAAAGTTCACAGGTCCTTTGAGATAAACAGGATCACACAGACACGCAGGTCTGTAGTCCTGCTCAAAGCACAACCAAACTTCAAAGACTGATCAGGTTGCTCAAGGCCTTACCTAGTTAAGTGCTGAAGATCTCCAAAGACAGAGACTCTAAAGCCTCTCTGTGCTACTGGAATGTATGCACTATTGACAAACAAGCTTTGGTGTTTTATTTTAAAATACTTATTCAGTTATTAATTGAGCCACTCGATTGATTATGTAAAATCTCTGCAACTTTCCCACAGGATTTTCCATTTCATCTCTGCATTAGCTAAAGAAAACAGCCAAACTAATGCCACTGCTTACTATAACACATTCTAAAAACATAAACAAAAAGGCAGAATTTCATTTGGTAAAAAAACCAAATACGGTACTTTCAGAGGAGGTATATCCCTTCAAACAAGAAGGCCGTCAGCTACAGGAAAGACAAAAGCCTCCTCCCACCCCTTTTTCTTTTTTACCGACAGTTCTCTTTAAATCTGCATTTGTCATCCAAGAAGAACGGGCATGGCTTCAGAGACTTGTGAGTTGGATAGAGATACAGCACTCTGACTCCTGCACTGCCATCTTCCAAGTCCTCTGTCCCCACAATCATGGCATTATGGTACTCCAGGGTCCCCCAAGAACTGTAGTAGGGGGCTTTAACCTTCATCCCACTCAATTCCTCCTCCTCTTCCTCTCTGTCAGACTCCTCCTCCTCTTCACTGTACTTTGATTCATTTTTGTCATCAGTTTCTTCACCTCTCTTTGATGATATCTCATTGTTATTAGCTGAAGGCTTTTCATCGGTTCCAAGGTCAGCAATGGCTTCCTTAAAAGCAGCGTACTCCTCATCTTGGGCAGAACCATCTGGGTTAGTGTCCCGCTCCAGCAGACCTACTGGGGAGGAGGAGGAGGAGGCATTTGTATCTAAAGTAGCCAGAAGTTTGCTCTTTTTAACAGACACCAGGCTGGATTCAGTCAGTTCTATCAGCTGCTTCAAATCTTCCTGCAACTGAATCAAGTCCGACTGCTGCGATGGGTCCGAGCCTGCCCCTAAAGCCAGCTCCACTTGCTGCAGCTGGGCATTGTAGGTCTGAATGGCTGCTTCCAGACTCTCTTCATCCATTATCAGCAAAATAAAGGTGTGTTTAACTGTGTCCTTTCTGGGAATTCAGAACATATTCAAAGAGTTTACTTAAAACGAGCAACTTTTTGGATAACAAGGCCTTGTTCGCAGAAGCAACCATCTACCCCGCCATCCCGCTTCTTCCCTCGGAAATAACCAGGCCGATGCTCCTGCAGCAAACAGGCGGCGAAGGCGATGACAGAGTC